AAGTGGTTGTCCCGCGTGAGACCAGAGGCTATGTTGTGAGTATCCATTTTGCGATATATTTTGCTGTCACGGTGGAGTTCGTCTTCGGCGGCTGCTTTGATAGACATAGCACCGACACAGTCGACGTTGCGCCGGTTCAATTTCCCACACAACTGACAGTTTTGCCAAACCGCCCGTGGGGCACCCATGGGTCACCCATGGGCGGCCCATGAAGTGCCCAACCGTAGGCACTTCAACCTAGACCTTCGCCACCGGCATATCAACCTAGAACTTAGCCACCTTCACATCAACCTAGAACTTAGCCACCAGCGCCACCGTAGCACCTATCGTGTGGGCTTGGGGTTAGTGTTACGGTTAGCGTTAGGGTTACTAGCCGCAATAGTGCCCCGAAGCAGGTAATCTGTTGTTTAGTAGGAGTACGACAATTCGGTTGACGGGCTCTCATTGGCCGCGCATAGGATTCCCATGGGTTGCCTATGGGCTGCCCACGGGCTACCTATGGGCAACAAAGTGCCCGTGGGTCACCCATGGGTCACCCATGGGTCGTTTGGGAAACTGTAAAAAGTCTTGGAGACCCCGTCAGTCGGAGTGAACCCACCGAATACGTAAGAGTGCTACTTGTTGCATCGGGAGGGTTGATGGCTTATCTGACGTTCTCGACAAAAGCGGAGAAGAAGACTGTCCAACGGCAATAATGGCACCACCACAACCTCGGAACAAATATGCCGAACATGCCTCTTTCGTCCGGGGAGATTCGGCGGGAGAATTGTTCGACACACACTGGGCGACACTGGCGGTACACGATGAACCCTTTGCTGCAATGCCCAACGCAGACGATGAAAGGCAAGGATCGAGAATCCCGCCATTTCCACCCAAACGTTTTCCACAAAGACGGCCTTGACCCATGCACAGAAAAAGAGCTGATCACAGAAGGATTACTTTGCCTTGGAAAGTCGTCGTCTGCATCAGCTTCTGCCCCTCTTGTGGACATAGACGACTCCAATCTGAGCGATGCAGCTCGATGGTGGTGATGATAGATATCGGAGACATGAGCCTTTAAACCTGAGCAAGAATTGAAATTGAAACTGGGTGTTTTGACAAAAGCGTTCCGGAATCAAGCCGACTCCGATAGTCGGTAGGGCTTTCTCCTCGTTTGTCGCTGTTTTGGCGAGGATTGTTCAACTCGCACATGTGAACCCAACATCAATCCCGGAATTGTGCGAGAAACAAGACGACAGATCGAGAGGAGGATGCAGCGACTTTCAAAGGCAATATATCTGATGGAGCGATAAAGCGTTTGATTACATTTCTTGGGTATATACTTTCAAAAGTTGCAACAGCGAACCCGTCGCATTAGAGAGAGTGGTTTGATCCACCAGGATTCAGTACAACTCTAACGTTGCCAAACAAAGGATTTGATTGACCAAGGATATCATTATGCGGTAAAAAGACGAACAATCAATGACGACAAAACGATCCACTCAAACATAACGAGTCGTACGATCAGAAGCCGAGGTCAAACGCGTATTGCCATCTATGGAAAAAGTTTCTTCCAAAAGCCCAGACAACCTTGAGCCAAGTACTCGGAAGTGGTCTGGTTTCCTCGGGCATCGATGGTTTGGTTTGAGCGACCAACGTTTCGATCAATAGGCGAAATGCCGCCCTGAGATACGGTGTGTCGCAGATGCCATTTTGCCCCGATGTTGATGGTAGGAGGCGTCATGCAGTCCTCCGTGTTTGCATTGGCGTTCAAAGAGGGTAAACGGTCGGAGATGTACCGCAGCCCGTGAATATGACGTGAGTCCTCCCTCCGAGGCTTGTATGACAACTTCGATGACGACCTTGCGCATCCATTCTCGGGCATCGGCTGGCCCGAGACTTCGAGTAGCTCAAATTACTAGGCAGACGCAACAGACGCCGTTAGCGGGACGACGTCATGGTAAACCATGACCATCTGAAATGAACACAACACAAACCCCGTAGGATGACATGCAAGTGGGAAAACTGCAGCAACTGTGGTATTCCAGAGGCGAGGTCTGTCAAAGCACTTGGCAGTGCGTGTATAGTGGTGCGTCCTTCCAAGTAGGCTGCCCAACTTGGAAACAACCGGCAATTCGATGTCGAACAAGGACCGTCCTCGATATCGGGCGCGATCTCTCTCACAAAACGAAAAGCACGTGACCTGGCTGGGGAGGATTGTAGGATCTCGAGACCTGGAATTCGTTGTTGGTGCTCTGCAGTAGAACTGTCGTTATTCGGCGAAAATATGGCCAACATCGTGACCATCAAACTAACCTGTACATCGACCACTTGAAAGTGTTTTCAAGAAGACCCTCCATTTTTACCCCAAGGCAGGGTGACATGTTGATAAGAAAAACTGCTGTGGGGCGTATCACCACTTGATTGCCAACGACAAATTCAGCACCATGGCGGCGTGCAACTAGCCACGTCGGACGAGCTCGTGTTGCTTTCAACTGCATGTCATTCACGTCTGCCAATACGCATGGGCAACGCGGACCGCATCCATCGCATCATGTTTGCGATCAAAGCTGTTGTACCCTCATCCGGTGGATATTCCCTTCCTCTGCATGTCTGACGCTTCTCGCTTTCTCTGCATGTCTGACGCATTTGCTGCTGTTCGTACCCAGGGCATCGAAACGGTCGGATAACAACGGTGATGAGTCGTCTCGTCGACAATATTTCTCTTCCTCACACTCAAGATCCGGGGACAACGGTTGCCCTGGGTCCAGGATCACCGACTCTCTCCGAAGCACCCAGAACGAACATGCGGTACGTCTTGCTATCCGCCATAGCTTCATGCTTGTGCACCTTGGGCGTGTGGATGCTGTGCCCAAACCTGCTCTCCCGTTGGTCATATACATATCACCCTGCTCAAGATTGGCATGGCAGTGTATTGGCCGTCGTCGTACCGGTATACGATGGTGACATCAACGATGCGATGCTATCGTTGTCGAAGTGGCCTACGACCTGCTCCGAAAACACGCGGAAGGGCACGGACCTGGTGATCTACAAAGCAGAGGCTGTTGGCAATGCGGACCTACTACCTCGGATACCACATCAAGCATCAGCGTGCTTTCGGCGTACCAAAGTCGTTGGAGGAGGTCTGCTTCCGGAGGTATGACACGTGGCTTTCTCTGCCGTCGTCACTGCTGGGAGTTATACAGTGGCAATACAACAGTCCAGAGTTCGGTGGCGAAGCACCTTTGACGTGAGATTTTTTCGAACGTGAAACCGGTACTCGTACCCATTCCAAGCAGATATCAACGCTACATCCCGTTGTATGGTGAATGCAAATCTGTACTACAATTTGGGTATGCCGACGATGCCCCCCGACGTTAGTGAGACACTGACGCAGAAAACCCCTCGTGGAACACCTAACGGGCCTGGTTATTTCCTTGAAACTCGCCACCACTCTCTATTTATTTGTGAACAAGCCAGCTGAACCCAGCCAGGGAAGTCCGACTACTGCTACTGAACGCAGGGGTCTGACATGACCACGTCCCCAAACGGCAATCGACCCTTCCACAACATTTTAACCGATTCAGACTATGTTGTCCTTGCAGTCAACCCTTGGGTACCGATATCGTTTCGCACACCGACCGCCTTCGCTTCTAACGTGTTCTTCTGGTCGTTTGGTTGGCGACACTTATCCCGAGTCCACGATTTGCTTTCTCGCGATATGCATGTAGGCATTCAAATACCAAATTCCAACCCGTCTGAATGACTCACTCGGAATCCCTCCCCCCCGCCGCCGCCGCCGCCGCCGCCGCGAGAGCCGTGCCCCCCGTAACGAGGGCTTCGTTTGACCCGATGACATCATCGCTTCACTTCGCGCCCTGAGCGCTATACTGTGCTTCACCACTCGTGCTGCCCTAGTGGTAGACGATGCAAGAGGCTAATGGGTCAGGCTTCTTTCCGCCCGACCCGACCGTGGTGATATTTTCTGGCCTGCTGCTACCGAACAAATCGCCACAGGAGAACGTGTACCCAACGGGAGCGTCGGTGATGTTCTACAAAATGTTCCTTGACCCCGACGTAGCTCGGGACCTCGACGAATACGACGCACTTGCCATCATTGAGTGGGATGTCTTGGTAGCGCATCATACGAGCTTTTCGAGACTGCACGAAACGGCGTTCTGCTCTGAGCCGTTCTGGGTGAAGGGAAGCACACTAGCCGGCACTGAGTTTCATCAAACCGCAACCGTGAGGGATATGTGGCATATCTTAGGACATCTTAACGGCAACGCCATATGTAAGTCGTCGTCGAACGACTGGTAACACACAATCCACGGCTGCCGAAAGAGTCGCGTGGTTCAACGTTCGTGACTGACAAACTCGCTGATGAGTTCAGGGCTGCACACATATGCAAGTAGAATGTTGGAGAAGTCGTCACGTGGCGGCAACGTGCTAATCTCAGTTTCGTGGTGCGTTTTTCTATTGTCTCTCCCTTGGAACGAAGGTTCTTTAACGCGAAGAACTTTGGCCACAGTGGTCCGTTTCCGTTGCAACCCTCTTGGTTGGTGGGCGGAGTAAACTCCCCGCTTATGCGAATCTTGGTCGCGTGTTTTGAGGTAACTTCAGGGTGCTACGTCGTTTCACATCTTCGAGTTGTAGTCTAGATCTTTTCTGTGACTCTCCATTCGTCGGGCGCTCGCGGGTAGGGGTCAAACTTCTAGTGTATGCATGAGTTGGACGTGTACAAACCTAGTCGTCGCAAAGTCCAATCGACCATTCGGCGTGCCAACCTATAAGATCCGACGTGCCTGTTCCTACCGATGTACCCACTCACGTTCTCCCGCCCGCGCCCCTCTACGTCCGTTTCCAGACAACAATACGGACCCGGCTTTCACCCAGTTCGTGAACTACACCCTCACACGTTGGGGATATTCCTACTCGTAAGTGCCCCCGTTGGAATAGGAGAGAGAGAGAGAGAGAGAGAGAGAGAGAGAGAGAGAGAGAGCGCCGGCACCCGGCTCTTGATGGTCAAAGTCGATGCTGAAAGTTTGACTCTGGTGCTCTTCGTAAAAGCCTTCCTCACGCCTCACACGATCAATATTCTCATGGTGACTGCCATTACTGCGCTGTACACGATCTCGCAGGTACGACGTTGCGCTTTGGGCTACGATATCGGATTTCCCTTACAGCTGGTTGCTTTGGCAGCGATATTCGACACGCTTCGTCGCAACAAAACTGGTATGACATCACCGTTCTTGGTAGAGTTTTCTTGCGCTTTTCAATGTGCATTATTCTATTGTCCACATTGTACTTCCAGAGATCATTGCGGGGGCTCCAGTACCAAGTAATACGCCTTCGACTTCAGATTTCCCGACGCTATCAAGGAGGGATTCAATGGGTGACAATACTGGGTTAGCTCGTGATCGTGATCATGATCGGTTCATGACTGAATCATGACCGGATCATGACCCAGTGATGGGTTCACGACTCAGCCGTGACCCGATCATGATCCATCGATGACCATGTTCGGGTCTGACTCCGTCATGAGCCGGTGCGGTGCCCCGATCATGATCGGTTCATGACCGAAGTCATGACCTGGTCTTGGCTTGGTTTGTCGGTTTTCACTTTCTCATAAAGTTCGGCCAAACTGCTGGATTATGCCCTGGTGATAATCTAGCCTGGTTGTGCCACAACCGAGTCGTGATCGTGTCGTGACCGGGTCAAGATGAGTGCACCGTTACCGAGACATGGTCATGTCGCCACCCCATCGCAACCGAACCATGACCCGATGGTGAGCCTAGATGTATTCATCAACACCAACCTAGCTCCTATGCCGCCACATCCATTCAGATATGTCCCTATCCAACCTCGCGCCGATGCTGGCACACTGACCTACATAGGACGTATCCATCCAGCACCAACCTAGCAGGGTTTCGGGTTCGGGCGAGGGGTAGCGATACGGATTTTGGCAGGTTTCATGCTCTTGCCAAACCAGACAGGGTTTTGTTTAGGAGCACGAGCCTTTCATTGGTGATGACCGGGCCATGACCCAAGAATGACCAACGGATGACTTCGGCCATGATCGAGATCATGATCCCGGTCATGACTCCATCTCGATGACTGGGTCATGACCCGTTCATGATTCGGTCTTGACTCGGTCGGTCATGATCGGGTCATGACGGCATGGTCGGGTTTTAACCCAGTCATGAGCCACGATGGAGTAATGCCTGAGCCATGATCAAAACCCAATGAAGTCAAAGCAGACCCCGCAAGCAATTCCGACGTACTACCTTGTCTACATTCTCTGGAGATGGAAATCTTTGACCGAGTGCCTTGTGATGCCAACAATGACACGGGGCAACGCTCGTCTGGGACTTTGTAGCCTGTTGTAACCGTTACTTGCACCTCGGGTTCCGCTGACCTCGTGCTCATCACCACAGATTACCAACGTGGGGTTCTTCGACGTCAACGACACTTACGTGGCAGACGCCATTTTGCAGGAGACGTTATTCATTCACGGCAGTACGGCCAGTGGTGGACGTGTCGCGAATCCCACCCCCAAGGCAACACCAGCGCGTTTTAGCAGGACTTGCACGGATGCCTGTAGCTCCGTGCACTCACCAGGGTCTCCAGCGAGCATGTCTACCGTCTGTGATGAAAGCTGTGTTTCTGGTTGGTCACCTGCTGGACCCCGCTTCCGGGGTCACAATTGCGGCGCGGGGGACCCATCGCTGTACGGGAGTACCTGCAGATCGTGCTACACCGACGAGGAGGAAGCCTTGGCTGCAGATCGTTCCCTTGGGAACGCGTCGTCGGATCCCTTGTTGGCAGGAGCTCACGTCATCATGTGTGACACCGGAGAGCCGCCCCAGGCTTCGAGCTGCTCTCCTGCATGCCGGAGTATGGCTGACACGGTGAGTTGATTCAGGCTACCGGCATGAAACAAAACAAAATGCCACGAGTTTGTTTTCTGCGAATGATGTGTCCAGGAATCAAGTGGCACGTCGTAAAAAAATGAAACACCTCCCAAGGGTTCACCTCTCGGCGAGTCTGGGTGGATGTCGATGTTCTGGGCAAATTGGCTTACGGCGGGTTGTACGGGCAAGACGGCCTTTCTCTCTCACCAAATACGTGTCCGTTATGCCTTATTCTCATTCATCGTCGAACAACGGTTGCACTACAGTACAGTAGCATGAATTTGGGCCCGCCATTCTGGCGCATTGCCGTGAAGGCTGCCAGCAAGCGTTGTAGCGGTCAGCCTAAACATGTGAGTTTTGCTAGAGCAAGTGTGACATGGCGTCACCACAGGTGGAAAATGTCACCATGTGCGTCCATTATTGCGCATGTTGCTGTCCTGCAGCTCGACATATTGAGGAACGATGCGAAAATATCGTCTTGTGGCGCTGGCGACAGCGGCTCTTGATTTTGCTCAGGTGCTTTGCCATACATGCTTTCGGCTCAAAACCTTGCTGATATAAGCCTCCTGGCATACACAAGGAGCCGCTGTTGCCTCCTTACCAGGGTTACAAAGCGTCTTGACAGAAGTTTTGGCTAAGGTTGCAATTACCCCATGGCAATGGGAAACGAGTGAATGCATGTAGCTGCAGAGGCTCCCGTATTGTTTATCATCTGCCGCGTCTCTTGCAACACTCGTTTCCGTACCGCAACCAATATACGAGCGTTTTTCTCGATTTCCGTGTCCCTACTCAGGTGTGCGACTCTCGTTGTGGAACCGGGTTGTACGGGGACTACAATTGCGACTGGCTGGGTCTTGGGTTGACTTGTCGTCGGTGCTTCCAAGAAACGTCGGTGGCCGAATTTGCGGACAGCATTGCCAAGACTCGCGGCCAAAGGGTGATTTTGTGCGCAACGCACGAGCCCCCATTGTCGGTCGGATCCCTCAAGAGCCACATCAAAGCGAAGCTGGGTCATGGCGGCGGTGGTGGTGGTGACGCGAATGCTCCAACAACTTTTCCCCTAGAGTCAGATACAAGTGATCGCTCAACGGCGGTATACGTCGGCTCCGCAACGATCAAGCAGATGTGCGTGTTCTTGCGCGGATATTTCGACCTCCTGGCGGAGACGAGATTGTCTGTTTCGAGCGTTCTGGAGTTCATGCCGGGAATGCGCGTGGCTGTAGCAACACATCCGAGGGATTTCCAAGTATTCAATAGGTGAGAAGACTCTCGTAAGCACATCTTTCCGATTCAGGAGGAGGAAGTAAGCACGCACGTTCGCAACAACAGAATACTCTGTCTACACCTTCTTCGACCACGCTGCAAACTCTATCCCTGAAGGCGGAATTTCGTCTAACATTATCTCGGTGGCGACGTGTGTATCTCGGATAACCATCGGCCTTCACGGGGTAAAGAACCATTGTACCCTCGTAGATCAATCCGACACTGTTCTCCCTCGACGCGCCGTCCACCCAATATGACGTTCAAAGCCGTAGCCAAAAGTTGAACAGAATACAGGTCACTGTGGCAATGAATCACGCCCAACACGGTTGTCTTAGGCTTGTCAACCATCACATCGCCAATACAAAGAGAGACTCCGCCACCCTCCCCCCCAACACATGAATCTTGTTGACTCAGAGCGACATATTTCGCGTCGTCAGATATCTGATGCGCTTTGTATGGACCACCGACGGCCCAGAAGGAATCGTGTGGCGTTGTTTCTGTGCATTGCTGCTATGGGCAAATACTGCACCCCCATAGGGCGAGCGGCCAGAATGTGACGACAAGGAGACGAAGAGGTACAATGAGGTTGAGGTGGAGTGTTTCTGCTCCGTGTTCAATAGACGTATCGAATTGGAGCGATTTGTTTAGGGTGTGGGATGGTACACGCACGTTTTGGATACTACGGCGGTATTCGGTGCCTCGCCGTTCTGCAACGGCCTGAAAACTCACCAGTCCAATAACCAAATAAGAAGGAGTATCATGCTGTCCGAAGCTCCTTGACGATCAAGGGCGCCTCCACCGCTATTCGGGTCTCCGTCCTGAGCGGTTTGTATTTTCGATGAGCGTAGAAGTACCTTCATGGCGCATCGCAGGCTAAAAGCCACGTTGACTAGGAAGGACGCACCCAAATAGTTCTCACGAGTTTCAAGCCGTGCAACGTTTTTTCGGCGAACACATGTAAGGATGGGCGCAAAACATCGCAAAATGTTCCTTATCATGGTACAGGCATGCGTCTGCGACCTTGAAGTGAGGCTTCTTCGAGGGTTGATTTGATATTGCAAGTCATTCACGTTCTTTCGAGGGCCAATACTCCTCATCTTGCTGACTGATACCTCTGCCCCCGCTGACTCTATCACACCCTGATTATGCACACGTGTGCTGTCGTGCTGCTATGCGACACAGGACACTTGGATATCTGCCAGACGTTACAATCGAAAATGCATCCAGAGTAGAGCACGGTGCGCTGATAGCAGACCAAATTTGCGGCAACGGAACACGCCTGATCTACTACATGAACGTCGGCGAGGTACTCAGTCGCACGTTTACAAGGAAGGACACGCACGGTGTCCTGGGGGATCTCATCGTGTCGGCTACCGACAGCGCACAAGTCCCCTTGGAGCACGCACGCCGTGCAGCAGGCAGCGCCGTTCTTCTGGGGTTCACCACGCCTGCATTTACGTATGGGACTGATCTCATCCTGCCGGCAGAAACAAACGAACAGCTCCGAGCTGTGTTACACACGAAGGCAAAACTGAACGAGTTGGTTGTGGTGCAAGCGCAAGGCAAGCACCGGCGATCCAGGAAAAAGCTAGGATTCATGTTTGAGTACTTGGCTTCGGTGGCTCACTCCCACAGGAGCTCCGCCACAATCTACATTCCGGAGGTAGGAGATGTGCCCAGCATTTGCCGTTCATGTGAATCTCATGGGTTTCACTTAAGATGCCCCCCGATACCCCTTCTCATACTCGAAGGCCAGGGGTGTCCTCGTCCTTGGCCCTGCAGAGCATTCTGGTCGATATTGCCTGAAAAGCCGAATGAAAGGAGAGGGCGACGTGAATACAAGCAAGCATAGACTTCGTAAACGTGCCACAGCGACGGGCTTTTCTCAGCTGAAGTAATTTTTGTTTGTGTCGGCTGGTTTGGGTAGTCAAGGCCAAACGTTTTTATTACGTGTTTGCCGAGTAGAGTTGTGGACACGACATTTCTCAGCGCGGGCTTCAGACCCGAAAACTTCGATATAGTCTTTGCGGCGGTCCCCGTTTGCACATCGCGCCTGCGTAGACTGTGCGTGATTTGTGGCGCAATCCGAAACATATATCTAAGACTCCTCAACTATTGTCGCCGTCACGAATTTCCTACCTGCAGGTGCTGGCTGCCTTGGCTCATTCCCGTCGTGCTAGTGGTGTGACGTTCCTTGACATGCACCACTGGAGTAGGAAAAACCTCTTTTCGGACGCGTCAATATGGGACATCCCACTGATAAAGCCTCGCTTCGGCTGTGCCTTTGATACGTCTCTGAGTTTGAAAGGGTACGACATGGCATCCGTGATGGCCAAAGAGCTCGAAGCTTTCAAGTTCGGAGCATCATGCGAGCTCGGCTTTGAGTCAGTTGAGATCTCTGAATTAGGCGTCAAGGCTGACTGGGAGTTTGGCGTCAAAGGAACGAACCAAAGCATGCCGAGCTTGCACGATTTCAACGTAACGGTGTTGTATCAGACGGTAGCGGCACATGAACACCTCTTTAAGATATCGATCGCCACGGTAATAGAGCATTTTCCGAGTGCATTTGAAGTGGTTGTCGTTGTCGTGGACGCCGATGTAGCCCTTTTCGAGGGCATCGTCAACCCATTTCGGGCCACGGCACCATTTCCTATTCGTGTCGTCGGAGAGCCAGAGCTGATGGACGGCATGGTTCAGCAAACGTACTCAAAGGTAAGTTTTTTATTTTTGCGATCACCAATCATCAAATGACATCTTAGCAACGAAAACGTAGATTGCAGTCGACATATGGGCGCGGCTGCACTGCGTGAGCTAGGGCCGGACTGCTTGTGTGCTTGATTTCTGGCCGCACGATGTTGAGCTTCAGGACCGTGCCCAGGGTTGGGGGGATCATGTCTCGGACGGCTTGCACAAAACGTGTTTCCTTTTCAAGGCGTGAAATTATCCCGTGACTCCATACCGAATAACAATGCGTGGGCGCGTAGTCATGATCGATCAACATGTCATGGTATGAAAACACCACGTTCGGTCGCCCGTGACACTGCAGTTCACGTTCCCAGCCTTTGAAGGTCGATAAATACTCATTTCAGCAGTACTCGCCAGGGATCGACGAGGACAATTCTGAAAACCAGGGAGCAGCAAATAAAACAACATGACGCATTCGGGCGGTTGTGTTTCAGTGTCTCCACTAGTCGAGTTGTGTTCAATGGGACTCCAAGCGCTCTCTGATGCAACTTCTATCAGAGCACGTGGGGCATGGCGTATAGCAGATCGAAGTTGACTTTACGACAAGCGCTCAACACCGGACTTACACTTGCCCCTGTTTCGCCAACCGCATCCTCTGACCGAACCCAGTTGAGGGCTGACTTGTTCGCGAATGGGGAGTACGTTTTACACCTGGATTCGGATGCGGTTGTCTTCGAGGATGTAACGTACGCGCACATGTTTCATCTCGGCAAGCCGGTGCTACCATTCCGTCGGTACGGGAGAAACGGAGGAGGAGAAGGTAAAGTGCACGAGAAACATGGTCAAGATCTTGCCTTCGCGGCGTGGCACTAGACTGCATATGCACTTTCATGAACATCGAGCATTTCCGTAGCAACGCCGAGTTTCGAGATACTGTTGTTTTTCCACCCTTGGAAAAGGGTCGACTGCTGTGCCGTTTTACAGATGTATTGTTTCCCGTACATAAAAACCCTCCTCCCGTGTGACCCTGGATAGTTGTAGTTGTCCGAAAAAGTACACTGAGAAGTGTAGTCCTGTACATAAACTGAACCTCGTGTAGTTCACGTTATCACCGCAAAAAAATGGGGGGACTGCCGCCACAATACTTCGGACTGAGTTCCCGTGGGCCCGTTGCCAGACAAATGCAGTGCGCCACGCGTCCGTAGGATATGCATAGGATTTCTAACGGTTGGCGCATGTTTGCCTGGATTGGAGCAGGAATGACGAGCACAATATGCTGGCAGAGAGGGACGTCGGTTGCGATTGGGGAAGACGTCATCCACGAGTTCAGCATCTTCAACACCAACGTCTACCCGCGACACATGTGAGGCGGCATCAGTTTTGCTGGAGTCATCCATACAATGCGCGATGGTGATGCGGATCTGCCAAGTGAACAGTTTTCCAAGCCACCAACCGCCCGTATACATGCGTTAGTCCCTCCAGAACAACGAAAAGAACGTAGTCACCCTCGCATGTTCATCCTCAGGTATCCTATTGGGAACCCCGAAAAGCTGCTTGTCACCGTAAGAGAGGGACGTGTCCCAAGTCATATACTCCATGCGCGAGCTGCTCATTCGCTTTGATGGTCTGAAGGTGAGAGAGCCAGCAACTGATTGGGAAAAGAAGTGTGCTTCTGAGAAGCTCCGACGCAGGTTCGTTGTAATCTGTTCGATTGTACGCACAAGACTCGACAAACCACGCGCGGCTTGGAACCCATGACTCTCAGGTACCCAGCTGCTCGACGGTTCATCGAAGAGCACCACGGACTGTCGTTCGCCGAGTTCATAGGCACGCGACGCGCATCTTGCGCGTACCCTGACGAAACGGCCAGGTTGACCGCAGACGAGAGGATTCTCATGTTTTCATTCTTCAACTTCGTCGGAGCATATTTGTGGTGAGTCACGCCGTCGTGAAAGCGATACTACAGAACTCCCATACGCGTCTGATGTGAACTTCCGGCGGCTGGCCACAGAATTCCCAATTCCCAACACAACCTCGATATTACATCATACTTCCTGACCTTATCGGGGTGCAGGGGAAGCTTCCGCGAAGTATACTTCGTGTTTTGGTGTAGAACGTTCAGGGCAAAGCGCGTCCCTACGGACTGAACATGGACAGGCCTCGTATCCAAAGAATGACCTGGGCGGATGCGCGGCCCAACCAGGAAGAGGGGACACACAACCCGACAGCCGATATTGTCCGGAATTAGTAATACTGGTATCACTTACGGCAAAGAAGAGATTCGGGCGGTGGGGTTGGCCGCAGCAGTACTGTAAGCTCGGTCGCCTTTCACGACCCGCAGAGCGGCGTATCCAACGTCCAACAAGCAAATGGAGGAATACCCACCCACCAGTCGAACGTTGGAAAAAAGGAAAAACAGTGAGAAGGGACCGGAGGAAAGCTGCAACTGCTTTGTATTGAGAACGCAGGGTTTTCCCTGAAATATATAGGTGAACCATCAACTACGTTACTCTCTTGTCTGGGTCTGCAACGCAATCGGTCTCCGTATTCGCGCGTTTGTTTACTCGAGCAAATAAACATCTTCGAACAAATATCACTCAGAATGTCGTGCTCAGTGTTCCCACACGTTCTACAATCAATCGTGGTTTTGTGCCTTCCCAGCATGACACGGGTAGTTGAAGGAAGCCGTCCTGTAGTGTCGGCTACCGACAGCGCACAAGTCCCCTTGGAGCACGCACGCCGTGCAGCAGGCAGCGCCGTTCTTCTGGGGTTCACCACGCCTGCATTTACGTATGGGACTGATCTCATCCTGCCGGCAGAAACAAACGAACAGCTCCGAGCTGTGTTACACACGAAGGCAAAACTGAACGAGTTGGTTGTGGTGCAAGCGCAAGGCAAGCACCGGCGATCCAGGAAAAAGCTAGGATTCATGTTTGAGTACTTGGCTTCGGTGGCTCACTCCCACAGGAGCTCCGCCACAATCTACATTCCGGAGGTAGGAGATGTGCCCAGCATTTGCCGTTCATGTGAATCTCATGGGTTTCACTTAAGATGCCCCCCGATACCCCTTCTCATACTCGAAGGCCAGGGGTGTCCTCGTCCTTGGCCCTGCAGAGCATTCTGGTCGATATTGCCTGAAAAGCCGAATGAAAGGAGAGGGCGACGTGAATACAAGCAAGCATAGACTTCGTAAACGTGCCACAGCGACGGGCTTTTCTCAGCTGAAGTAATTTTTGTTTGTGTCGGCTGGTTTGGGTAGTCAAGGCCAAACGTTTTTATTACGTGTTTGCCGAGTAGAGTTGTGGACACGACATTTCTCAGCGCGGGCTTCAGACCCGAAAACTTCGATATAGTCTTTGCGGCGGTCCCCGTTTGCACATCGCGCCTGCGTAGACTGTGCGTGATTTGTGGCGCAATCCGAAACATATATCTAAGACTCCTCAACTATTGTCGCCGTCACGAATTTCCTACCTGCAGGTGCTGGCTGCCTTGGCTCATTCCCGTCGTGCTAGTGGTGTGACGTTCCTTGACATGCACCACTGGAGTAGGAAAAACCTCTTTTCGGACGCGTCAATATGGGACATCCCACTGATAAAGCCTCGCTTCGGCTGTGCCTTTGATACGTCTCTGAGTTTGAAAGGGTACGACATGGCATCCGTGATGGCCAAAGAGCTCGAAGCTTTCAAGTTCGGAGCATCATGCGAGCTCGGCTTTGAGTCAGTTGAGATCTCTGAATTAGGCGTCAAGGCTGACTGGGAGTTTGGCGTCAAAGGAACGAACCAAAGCATGCCGAGCTTGCACGATTTCAACGTAACGGTGTTGTATCAGACGGTAGCGGCACATGAACACCTCTTTAAGATATCGATCGCCACGGTAATAGAGCATTTTCCGAGTGCATTTGAAGTGGTTGTCGTTGTCGTGGACGCCGATGTAGCCCTTTTCGAGGGCATCGTCAACCCATTTCGGGCCACGGCACCATTTCCTATTCGTGTCGTCGGAGAGCCAGAGCTGATGGACGGCATGGTTCAGCAAACGTACTCAAAGGTAAGTTTTTTATTTTTGCGATCACCAATCATCAAATGACATCTTAGCAACGAAAACGTAGATTGCAGTCGACATATGGGCGCGGCTGCACTGCGTGAGCTAGGGCCGGACTGCTTGTGTGCTTGATTTCTGGCCGCACGATGTTGAGCTTCAGGACCGTGCCCAGGGTTGGGGGGATCATGTCTCGGACGGCTTGCACAAAACGTGTTTCCTTTTCAAGGCGTGAAATTATCCCGTGACTCCATACCGAATAACAATGCGTGGGCGCGTAGTCATGATCGATCAACATGTCATGGTATGAAAACACCACGTTCGGTCGCCCGTGACACTGCAGTTCACGTTCCCAGCCTTTGAAGGTCGATAAATACTCATTTCAGCAGTACTCGCCAGGGATCGACGAGGACAATTCTGAAAACCAGGGAGCAGCAAATAAAACAACATGACGCATTCGGGCGGTTGTGTTTCAGTGTCTCCACTAGTCGAGTTGTGTTCAATGGGACTCCAAGCGCTCTCTGATGCAACTTCTATCAGAGCACGTGGGGCATGGCGTATAGCAGATCGAAGTTGACTTTACGACAAGCGCTCAACACCGGACTTACACTTGCCCCTGTTTCGCCAACCGCATCCTCTGACCGAACCCAGTTGAGGGCTGACTTGTTCGCGAATGGGGAGTACGTTTTACACCTGGATTCGGATGCGGTTGTCTTCGAGGATGTAACGTACGCGCACATGTTTCATCTCGGCAAGCCGGTGCTACCATTCCGTCGGTACGGGAGAAACGGAGGAGGAGAAGGTAAAGTGCACGAGAAACATGGTCAAGATCTTGCCTTCGCGGCGTGGCACTAGACTGCATATGCACTTTCATGAACATCGAGCATTTCCGTAGCAACGCCGAGTTTCGAGATACTGTTGTTTTTCCACCCTTGGAAAAGGGTCGACTGCTGTGCCGTTTTACAGATGTATTGTTTCCCGTACATAAAAACCCTCCTCCCGTGTGACCCTGGATAGTTGTAGTTGTCCGAAAAAGTACACTGAGAAGTGTAGTCCTGTACATAAACTGAACCTCGTGTAGTTCACGTTATCACCGCAAAAAAATGGGGGGACTGCCGCCACAATACTTCGGACTGAGTTCCCGTGGGCCCGTTGCCAGACAAATGCAGTGCGCCACGCGTCCGTAGGATATGCATAGGATTTCTAACGGTTGGCGCATGTTTGCCTGGATTGGAGCAGGAATGACGAGCACAATATGCTGGCAGAGAGGGACGTCGGTTGCGATTGGGGAAGACGTCATCCACGAGTTCAGCATCTTCAACACCAACGTCTACCCGCGACACATGTGAGGCGGCATCAGTTTTGCTGGAGTCATCCATACAATGCGCGATGGTGATGCGGATCTGCCAAGTGAACAGTTTTCCAAGCCACCAACCGCCCGTATACATGCGTTAGTCCCTCCAGAACAACGAAAAGAACGTAGTCACCCTCGCATGTTCATCCTCAGGTATCCTATTGGGAACCCCGAAAAGCTGCTTGTCACCGTAAGAGAGGGACGTGTCCCAAGTCATATACTCCATGCGCGAGCTGCTCATTCGCTTTGATGGTCTGAAGGTGAGAGAGCCAGCAACTGATTGGGAAAAGAAGTGTGCTTCTGAGAAGCTCCGACGCAGGTTCGTTGTAATCTGTTCGATTGTACGCACAAGACTCGACAAACCACGCGCGGCTTGGAACCCATGACTCTCAGGTACCCAGCTGCTCGACGGTTCATCGAAGAGCACCACGGACTGTCGTTCGCCGAGTTCATAGGCACGCGACGCGCATCTTGCGCGTACCCTGACGAAACGGCCAGGTTGACCGCAGACGAGAGGATTCTCATGTTTTCATTCTTCAACTTCGTCGGAGCATATTTGTGGTGAGTCACGCCGTCGTGAAAGCGATACTACAGAACTCCCATACGCGTCTGATGTGAACTTCCGGCGGCTGGCCACAGAATTCCCAATTCCCAACACAACCTCGATATTACATCATACTTCCTGACCTTATCGGGGTGCAGGGGAAGCTTCCGCGAAGTATACTTCGTGTTTTGGTGTAGAACGTTCAGGGCAAAGCGCGTCCCTACGGACTGAACATGGACAGGCCTCGTATCCAAAGAATGACCTGGGCGGATGCGCGGCCCAACCAGGAAGAGGGGACACACAACCCGACAGCCGATATTGTCCGGAATTAGTAATACTGGTATCACTTACGGCAAAGAAGAGATTCGGGCGGTGGGGTTGGCCGCAGCAGTACTGTAAGCTCGGTCGCCTTTCACGACCCGCAGAGCGGCGTATCCAACGTCCAACAAGCAAATGGAGGAATACCCACCCACCAGTCGAACGTTGGAAAAAAGGAAAAACAGTGAGAAGGGACCGGAGGAAAGCTGCAACTGCTTTGTATTGAGAACGCAGGGTTTTCCCTGAAATATATAGGTGAACCATCAACTACGTTACTCTCTTGTCTGGGTCTGCAACGCAATCGGTCTCCGTATTCGCGCGTTTGTTTACTCGAGCAAATAAACATCTTCGAACAAATATCACTCAGAATGTCGTGCTCAGTGTTCCCACACGTTCTACAATCAATCGTGGTTTTGTGCCTTCCCAGCATGACACGGGTAGTTGAAGGAAGCCGTCCTGTGCTGCCTGAAATCAACAATAACTGGACAGCGCGTACGTACCCCCATGTGATTGGTGGCACCACAATGCAAAACATGGGCGAACTGAATCATTTCTTCCAGGTATCACATGCGCAGCGCTGTCCAATGGCTACCTGTGGATCCTCACGATGTGCAGCCAGATGATTGGCGCACAGATCTCAGGAAGTATTCGTGGGTCTGCCCTACGAGTGAGCTCCATGCTCCGCAAGATCAGGACGGCCTGGAGCAGTACATCGCAGACTACAGAATGGTCGGGACCATCAGCCAGTGCAGAATCGTCATTGCCCACTGGGGAAAACCACACATGCGCACGCCAAACACACGGACACGAATCGACATGACGTCTAAGGAATGGGGCAAAAATATCTGATCTACAATAATAGTCGTATACATCGATTTGGTGGCGTATTTAAACTAGCTTGGCGGCTTCCACGGCGCAAATTATGCCTGCTACATGAGCAACGCGGTGCCGACTCCGGTATCTACCGCAAACCCAATAGCCAAGGGATGAAAATTGCCCATCCCGGGGGCTTCTGACAACTATCGTTTATTGTGGCTCGGCTGTTCTACAACTTGAGAGGTGCGGGTGCAGCTTTCTGCAAAATGGACTTCTGACAGTTGTTATGTCAGCGGTATGTTTGCCATTGGAAGCGCTTCGCGGCCGTCCGGAATAGGCTGAAGAGTGATTGATGGGGCTCGAAAACGACCCCCATGACGCAGAAGGCATGGTCTGCCGCTCTGCCGCTGTGGTGGTCTGTGTGGCTATGCATCGCCGTGGTGGTCTGACTTGTTCGTGTTGTTGTCGCGTGTAATGAGAGGGGGGGGAATGGGGTGGGGTGTGACTAGGGGGGGAGGCGGGGTGGAGATGAATGACCGCAAACGTCGATGGTTCCCGGCAACCCTGAGACCGGGTATTTACCGGTACCGCGTTATGGAGATCCCTGATCCGTTTGCTAGGTGATGTATATCTGTTACCGATTGTAGAAATCCTTTATGGTCTTTAATATCTGTTATTTTCAGTCCTCCAGCGGTTTCTCGTAGTTCTGTTGTTGTTGTTGTTGTTGTTGTTGTTGTTGTTGTTGTTGTTGTTGTTGTTGTTGTTGTTGTTGTTGTTGTTGTTGTTGTTGTTGTTGTTGTTGTTGTTGTTGTTGTTGTCTCTAGTCTACATAAAAAAACGTTCCGGTGTCTGCTCAGAGCCTTGTAATGTCCGTACTGGTCCAACTGACGCGGCCTGCAGAAATCAAACCGTTAGACTACCGTATACGACACAAAACAACACACACCCTGGACCTATATTCAAAGCTCCATCTATCAACAGCGGAAGAGTCGCGGCGGCGTAGAAGCGGCGGCGTAGAAGCCGTCTGGTCGAGAGCTCCGAAAATGCATCGTTTCGTTTACGCACCCCCTTCGCCGTGGAGTAATCGAGCTTTGAGAATCGGTCCAGGGGGTGTTTTTTCTTGTGTCGTATAGGATGGTCAGCGCTGACTGATCTTCTACTGATTTGATTTCGGTTTGTTTTAAAGTTAGCCGTGGGACTCGCGAGCCCCGGCACTTTCACTTCCGAGGTGGGTGGCTCCCGTTGCCAGCGCTACCATCCGTCCAACCCTTGTTTCGCTTTATATCACTCACCACCCACATTCTGCAGAACGCTGTGGGGTCTTCGACGATTCCTTCCGTCACCCTTACGCTGGCCGCGAGTTTCCAGGATCTCAGGGGAAAAACCACCTCAAAGTGCCCAGCCTGGGTCTCGAGCGGTTTGAGACCTAGGCTGGACGCTTTGAAGTGGCTTTCCCCCGAGACTCTGGATAGTAAGGGTGACGGAAGGACTCATTTGAGATCCTGTAACATTCTGCAGGACGTGGCTGGCGAGTCATGTGAAGGGAAATAAAGGTTGGACGCATTGTAGCGCTGGCACGGGGAATCACCCTCCCTCGCAAGTGAAAGCGCCGGGGCACACGAACCTTACGACTAACGTTCATAGTGAAGCCGAAATCGAACCAGCTGAGTGGTCTAAAGGTTTGATTCGACTTCTTCAAATAAAGCTCACGAAAAGTGCGCGCACGAGATCTCGTCACTTGATCCCTTTGCGTGACCTAGAACTCGACATTGCCTGTTGCTATTTTTTAGTTCGTGGATGACCGGCGAGATTGTTTCAAGGCTCGTTTCATGAGAATCTTGCTTTCACCACAGATTTGAGGGGGAGAGTGTTGATCACATACATGCAGTGCTGCCGCACAATATATATTAGGCTACTGAAGGTATAAACACTAGGCGGTGGATAGGAAACTCTCGGTTGTATCCCGCGCATCTATCACCCCTGCCAGATGCCATACACTCAGATTCTCCGTCGCGATAGGTGTGTGTAGTTTCTTCCCTCAAGCTTTCAGAATCGTTTTAGCCGGCCACCACGCTACGCCCTTGTCCGCCTCGGCGCCAACCTCCGTTTTCAGCCTTACTCAAATCCGAAAGGGGAAGTGCGCTCAGTGGAACCTACAATCCCGTGTTTCGCAACAGTTCCTAGGCATCCAGTATGAGTACTCATCTCGCCGTCCGCTCCCTCTCCGGCAACACCGAGAATATCGAGACGAGGGTGTTGACAAAGGATAGGCTGCTTGGGGATAAAGTGCCGACGATGAAGGTAAAGAAAGCCCCTTGCATAGGGCCAAGATACCGCCCGAACGGGAGTTCGCATTCTTTCCGAGGTTCAGCTGCGCCGGCTCTGACGCCAGGTAAGATCCGACTCGCGATGTGTTCATGGGGTGATATATCTATATATTGCTCGATGAGTGGAATTAATCTCCATCTCACGCAACAAAGCCAGGAGGAGGTCAGAGTGAAATATCATTTGACGACGGCGACCTGGAGTGACCCGTCCATGTCGGGAACATTGCGGCGACAGTGCTTGGTCGCGCGTATTCAAACCCTGTGTACACAATATATCACCTTCACGAGTTCGGCCTTCCATCCAGAACTCTTGGGAAGTGCCGGTGTAGACGAACTCGGCCTTTCGATCCGCTCTTCGCCACGGAAGTGTATTCAGTGATCGACCTGTGCGTGTTTGTTGACTAGTGTACACGTCGTGCGGAAAGCCTAGAGTCGAAATCGACCGATGAAGGTGTCTCCGAGTGCGCCGTTGAAGGTCGCCTACAGGGAATGCGGG